TTAAAAAAACTTACAGTATCAGCAAGAATGGGCGCCCAGACTGCATCAGGTAGATTGATGCAGCCATCCATCCACCCTGCCCCACTCAGCCCATTGAGGTGTTTGTAATCGGCATATAGTTTTGATAACTGTAGAAGCAAGAAAAGATCAATAAAACAAAAACAAAACGAAACGATAAAAAACGTAAAAAAGTCTACTTACAACATACCAGTGATTCTTACAAGCCTTCGCGGTTTTGACTCCACTAACAGTAACTAGATCAGTCCCTGGGATCTTCTTTCTTTCACTTCCTGCAAGTTTTTCAACAACAGCGGTCCAAGTGGCAGGTTTGAATCCATGCGCCGTAGTAGCGTTCTGGGGTCCAATCGGTCCGTTAGCAGGGCGGCGTTCAGAAAGCAAAGCCTCAACATAAATCGCATTGTCGTCATCGTCCCACTGCGCTTTGATCTTTGGTTCTTTTGATGTCTCGGCGATTGGTGGGTTTGAAGCAGTTGGATGGTTTGGAGTGGCTGAGATCAGGTCAGTTGGTTCTGGGCTAGGTGACTGAACTAGAGTTCGGACCGCTCTGGGGGCTCGAGGTCGTGGTTTTGGCTTGGGTTTTTGGGTGGTAGCCATAACAGTAAGATGGATTGAATAGATGACGGGATAGAGCTGAAAGTACGATACGATAGAGCTGAAAGGACAATACGAATACGATAGAGCTGAAAGTACGGCGGGATAGAGCTGAAAGTACGGCGGGATAGAGCTGAAAGTATGGCGGGATAGAACTGAAAGTACGGCGGGATAGAACTGAAAGTACGGCGGGATAGAACTGAAAGTACGATACGATAGAGCTGAAAGGACAATACGATAGAGCTGAATAGATGATGGGATAGAGCTGAAAGTACGATACGATAGAACTAAATAGACAATACGATAGAGCTGAATTCCATTGTTCCGTGACTCAATTGTCTTTATTGTAAGAATTGAGTCTTCTCTCTTCCAATTTCAATATTGGACGAGAGAAGAGTCTATGTGGGCTAGAGGCCTTCACGAATTCTCCAGAATTCGTGAAAGCCAGTTTTTAAGGGGATATATCTTTTGCGTGTTCTACGAAAGGTTTTCTTTAATCATTCTAGAACCTCAAAGGAATATCCCCTTATAAAGACGTGAGCTTGGGGAGCCGGGGTCTCCTATAACTCAGGATGGTGCCGGTCCTGAGCCTCATCGGCTCTTCCCCACACCGTCGCTAGCCTCACTAGGTTCCAACGCTTTATCCAGCATTGGTCGATTTGTTCAAGTGAATCATATGAATAAATTTTTTACAGTAGTCATTTCAATAGATGCAATTTGTTCTCAACCAGGACATATCAAGGTAGAGTTGTACCCAAAGACGAGTATATCGGAAGTCTGCACCTCTCCTGGCATAAGACATACTGTGCGCACCTCCACTCGATATCAGACCATTCCCGTTGGTAAAGTGAATGGCAACCAGATTTCCAACAACCGAGACTCTTTATCTCGTTCGTTTCTATACCTGCCTTCGCTAAGAGGGTTGCTCCTCCTATTCGAAACGAGTGTCCCGTCATTTGGCTTGACTTTCCCCATGCCTCTTCCAAAACTTTCGTTAGGATCTGTCTCGTTATGGCTGTTGTCCCGCCATTATGCCAAGTCATAAAAAGACGTGGGTCTTTTACCCTCTCCATCCTTCTCACTAAACGCCCTAAAGCTCTAAAAGGGCAAAGTCTACCCCCAGTTTCTCTCAAGACTAAATATTGGACTTCCCCTCTTTTTGCTGTTTTGGCATCTCGGTGTGCAATCCTCGCCATACGCTGTCCGTTCACCGAGACAAACTGCAAATCAGACTTCAGCACCGCTGTCACGTCACGCCTATCATACGTTGCTGATTTATACACCAGTTCACCAATACGCGCCAGACCCCAGTAAGCCGTTAGTGCCAGAGCTTGAAGTCCAATCGGGTCTACGGCTGATTGCTCAATATAATCTAACAATTTGACCAACGCCTTCGGTGTTACCGGTTTACGACCTCCGTTTAACATCTGTGCCGCCATTTCTAATCTTGTTGAAGATCTTAAGATGCTTCCCAGACGCGTCTTGCTGATCTCGGGGCAAGATTGACCGTGGAAGTCATGCCAAGTACGTATTGCAGAGAGATACTTGTGAATTGTTGCCACCCTGATAGGTTTGTTCTTTGCATTTGTGTTGTAATTATGGCCTGCCCACACAATGAAGCTCTCGATCGTTGATCTGGCAGCCGGGAACGATCGAAAGCCAAATTGATTTGTGAAGACCTTGAACTTTTTCACTCCGGAGGCGTAGGATTCCAGAGTATTTCGCTTCCATCCCCCCCTAATCATGTGGCGTTGTGTGCTTGAAAGTCTCCTCGGGACGTCGTCTTGTATCCGAAGAAAGGTCGTCAAATCGCGCATTCTTGTTCAGTCTATTAGCGTACAAATGAGCGGAAAACAATCCTCAGTACAGTACATCTCAGAGACATCTATTCTTCAAGTAGGGGTTGTATTCTTTACGTTATTAGTCCTATGCCTTGTGGATGCGTGTGGGTTCGTGAGTGATCACAGCCTTTTTTCTGTTTGGATGGAACGTGTCTTGAAGAGGGTTCGCAATGGACAATCTCCCCTCTCTTATCTTATTACATCTCCTCTCACTTCCAGTAGTACCGGGCTTTCTTCTCTGTTCTGCTCTTCCTAACTCATCAGTTTATGTTTGGCCGTCTTTATCAACCATCTTTTAATTTAGGAGCTGTCTAGCTGATCATTACAAACACGCTCTCTTTCTTAGATACACCGCCATCATATAGTACGTACAAGACTACTAACAAGCTGATGTCTCTTATTTAACTAATCTTCTTATCTTTTACAAATTGCGACTGGTGGTATTCTCCGGAAAGGTCGCGATTAGTCATAATTTGGTCTCCGTCTACTCCTAAAGGGACAAACAGAGCAGCTCTTCAGGTTAGTGCTTGACTCCTATTTTGTACAAGGGATTGTTTCGTACTTAATTGAGCTATCTCGCTCACCTGATTTAACTGGTCTTCCTCGGTTGTATTTCTCAACCAACGAGCGAGGTCGGGTGGGATTTCTACATGGATCTGACGGAACCAGTCCTTCGAGGAGGATATTCCTCTTGACAGCTGGTCGGCCGCATTATCCAACGACGTAACTCTTCTTTGTTCCAGTTGGCAGTCATGAGAATAGAGGAGAGTACTGATTTCTTTCCATTCGTGATTTACCCAGAAATCGTGAGAGCGTTCATTTCTTAACACTCCTTCTGTAGTTGTGTTGTCTGTAAGGACTAAGAAGCGGAAACCTTCCACTTTCCTTTGTTTAATGAGAGCCAAAAGGCCCAAACGAACCGCTACTGTTTCCAGCCAAGCTATTCCTCGCTTCGGTTGATCTAGTGGTGTGTTCCATCCTGGGAGCAATGTAAACTGTGACCATTCTTTGCCAATCACAACGCCAATTCCAAAGGAAGTCGAGGCGTCACCTACCCAACCGACGTTGGTTATTTCTCTCTTTTTTAATAGATGCCTGTTTGGAAAACCTAGCAGAGCGTTCATCCATACATTCAAATCTCCTCTCGTCACCGAATTCATTTTCCGTTTTGCAAACCTATCATGCCATTCTGCTGCCCATCTGAAACTACTGGATAGATCACAACGTAGTTGTGGGAGAATGTACGATACGTGGCTGAGCCGACCGTTCATCTTCTCTACCTCTTTGTAAGAGTAAACGGTTTTGCTTAGAAAGGTGTTTAGCTGTTCTATCCTTTGTTGCAGTTTTGGTAGAGGTAAGCTGACCGTCTTGGTCTTGAAATCCCATAAGAAACCGATATATTTTTGTTTGCTGGCGAAATGAGAGAACTTTGTTTCGTTAGTCTTTACACCTAACCTTGCGCTATAAGCTACAATCTCGTCCATGGTGACGTTGTTGGACTCCTCCTTTATCAGGAGGTTGTCGTCCACCCAACGGAACGCTTCTTTCAGACGGAAGTGTTTCTTAACTAATTCTTTCCAGCCATCGGCTGGACCGCCGAAACTTCCGCAACCTCCTACTCCACCAAACGAGATGCACGTGTCTACATATTGAAATCCTTGAAAACAGGTTAAAAGTAGGAAAGGCCATTGGCTCGGTAGGGTGCCGATCTGTCTGTAGGCCTTTTCCCAGTCGTAAAGGCCAGCCTCAATAGGATCTTCCGTTTCTGCTACGAACTCGGATACAATCGAGAAGTTGTCCCAAGTAGTCTTGAAGTCATCTTTGTCTACAAAGGAATTCACGCTTGGAATGGCTGGGTCATTCTTGGGGAATGACAAGTCGTTGATAGGTCGAAAAGACCCGTCACCGTTTACTACTGCTCCCATCGGACTAGATCTGAAGAAGGGAAAACGAGTTTGTAGTTCTGCTGTTGTAAAAGGGCCGAACATCCGTCCGGCTAGAACTTCCTTTCTTATGTTGTCCATGATCTTGTCTTTCACTGCTTCTGATGAACGGTGGTTTGGGGGACAGTAGAACGGCAGGCTTCCTATTTTATGATCAGGAATCCCTTGATCGAATCCGTTCCTAAAACCTTCTAAAACAAATTCATACTGCGGTAAAAGATTGTACTTCTTCAGTTCTTTCTCCCATGACTCGATATTCATGCTGCATGTTGGTCCTTTCGGCCATCTGGAAACTAGAGGGTCGCACGTTCTTTCTTTTGCTGAGCTAACTATTGGATCGTGAGTCGGTCCTTCTGAAATTAAAGGTCTCAAGGGTACTAGCTTGTTGACTCTTTCTACTGAGTTTTCTGCGTGTCCTTCGGCAACTGTACATCTTTTCCCGCCCCAAGGCGAAAGATGAAAATTAGGGAGAAAAGAACACATTATGTTATTACTTCTGAGGACTTTAGGGAGGGCAACATATAGAAACTTCTCAAATTGCTATGGAGTACATGAATGTTACACCGGAACATAAAGATCGAGCATTTGACTCTGAGTCTTTAGTCTATAATCCCGTACGCTCATGCATGTGTGCATTTCCTCTTTAGAGGTTCGGTAACGACAGAAATTTGGATAGAGAAGGGGTTATAAGGACAAGGACAAGACTTCTGAAAGAGGAATATTCAAGAAAACGGTCTTTGCAATCTCTTCTATAAAGGAGGGAAAAAGAGATTACAACTCGATCAAGTCGCCAAACTTACGGCTGGCGAGATCTCCCTCTACCGGTAGACGCACTACCTCTGCCTCTACGGACCACTCCACGGTTGCTTCTTTGACGATCCTCCGGTCTTTGATCTCTTGGCAACGGAGGAAGCATCTTGATTATATCCGGAAGGCGGGGAGCTCTGGGCAAACGAGGAGCTCTCCTGCTGTTGGATGATGGTCCTTGTCGAGATGAGTTGGTCGTGCGTTTCTTAGACCTAGCAGTCGCTGATCTTATATAGTTAAAAGAGGAGGTTTCGTCTTCTTAGGTTTCTTATTACACCTTTTTAGATAATGGACTAAATTAAGACTCACTCTTCCCATATGCCGGTTATCGGATCTCGGTGTTCGAACCTGGCACCTTTAGCATAAGGGTTTGCATTACCAAAGTTAAGCTCCCCTTGTCTTGTTGCTTTCTCCTTAGCAGCTCTCTCGAAACTCTCGACGTAAATGCTTGCATCTGGAACAGGAACGCCTTTCCCTCGGTGACCAAAAAGTTGTTCTTGGAATGTGATATCGTATCGTAATGCAACCATCCAACACTCTGTCGCTTCCCTATGAGAAGTTGAGGATTAGCTAAAACGTTCTCAAACTATTCTTCCATTCAAGGGCATCGACTGTAATGACAAAGCCTTGCTTTATGTCTTTTACATGCTTTACATGCGTTTTCAACTGGTCTGACAGGATGGAGAAGTTATACGTTTTCTTCAAGTAGCGTCTCAAGAGGGTAATGCCGTCAATCCATTCACCGAAGGTCATCGCGTATTTGGATGGAGGGGCCAATCCCCTATTGCGAGTAGATTTTGACGTGGATGAAGCCGGTTGGTTCTTCCTGCTCTCGACTTTGTCCTTTTGAACAAAAGTTGGGTTGAGTACTGTAAGAGGGACACTCTCGGAGAGATTTTTCATTGCCTCTCCCCAGTAAGTTTGAAGAGTCGGTAATAAGGATTTGCAGGGAGCACCTTTTTGAAACTTTATACCATTTTCTTTCTTTATGCTCTTCTTACTGTAGGATGATTTTACTTTCGACGAGGCGGGTTGTTTTCCGTGTTTGGTTAAAGACTTTCGATCTAACGAAAAGTACGACGAAGAGGTAACACGAAAAGTTTTTAAAAGGTGTGTCCCGATGTTTTTTCTCTAGGTATTATCAAACGAGATTATCATACCTTTAGGAGCTGATCGTTCCTTTTCTAAGAGACCCTTAGACTTCTCTCTCGCTCGCATGGCTTTTGCGATGAGCTTATCAATCGCCTCGATGGACTTATGTCCTCCTATTCAAGGAAAGGATAAAAAAAAGAAATCGTATCAAGATGCGATTCTGTAACCAGTGGAGAGCACCACTTGGTGATAGTGTGTTGTACACAGACTAGTAGTCTCTTCCCTAAGGCGGGGCGCTCAAACAATGGAAGCTAGTTGAAGATAGAGACCTTACGTTTCTTTCCCTTTTTGATCGTTTTGTTTGACTCTTCTGATCCACTTGAGATTTCTGAAGACTCTTCAGACGAGCTTAAGGAAGAAGAATCGTTGTCGGAAGGATCTTTGTTGGAACTTTCATCTGAAGAGTTGCTCGAATCAGAAGAAGCTGGTGGGGAAGAGGAATTGGAACCTTCTTCGTATTCGTCTGCGTTGAAGGTCGAGTCTTCAGAGTCGAGGTCAGGTTCTTCTTCTTCACCTTCATGATAACTGTCCATTGATTTGGCTATCTCATCACGTCTATCCTCTTCTAAGGCTTCACCGTCTAAATGGTCTTCATTCGGGTCGTCTTCGCCTTCTAACCCTTCGTCTTGAGCGGCATGTTGAGCTTCTGTAATGGTTGACAAAGGAGGGTCCAGGATGACGGTTCCACCTTCAGCAACCTCGCCTCTAGCGCGTCTGGTCACCCGACCGGTTGGTTGCGTGTTTGCCATTATAGATAAGCAAGTTGGTGTAATGGTAAAAAGGTGGGGGGGGCTATAGCGGTAAACTCGTAACGTTTATAACGGTGAGGATTAGATAGGCAGTAATGTGTATAGCGATGAAATAGTCTGGTCTCGAATGAAAAAGATCAAAATCAAAAAGTATTCGACAGGATTTCGGAGGTTGTTTAAAAGAAATCAGTTATGAGGAAAGCGAACAGGATGAGGAAAGTGAATAGTTATTAAAGGGGGAACTAGCTTTGAATAATTTGTGAATGGACTATTGCGATTTTTACACTATGGACTACAGTTATGAGCACTTTATAACACTACTAGGTAAAGAGTTTCCTCCTAGTCAACACGTCGATGATCACGATGGTACTATAGCTTGAAGGGATTCTTAAAACAAAGAAATTTAACAATTCAATAAAGATTATCAGGGGAAGATATCACTATCTGGGAAGCTAATATCTATCCTAACTCTTTGAAATAGTTGAATCACGGACAGTTAATGGCTATAGTAATTTCGTAAGATGGTGCTGATAGAAAAGGGAGAAAACTGAGGCGGATAAAAGGAAAAGGAAGAGAGCTAGACCTTGTCTTTCTTCAGACTTCTTAAATAGCTATCAACCTTGGCTCATATTCTCTTTAGAGCTGTGACGTAAGCTGATTGGAAATTCTTGCGTAATTCCTCAATTCCTGAAGTGGACTCCTGTTCTCCTTTTGGATCACTATTGACACGGTGTTCTTTCCTTTCCCGCTCATTCCTGTCAGTCACTATCTTGGGTGCACGCTTTCATGGACCAACTCCACATTTTGTGCCTCATGTAAAGACATAAGATGACGGGATAGAACTGAACGTACGGCGGGATAGAACTGAAAGTACAATACGATAGAACTAAATAGACGACGGGATAGAACTAAATAGACGACGGGATAGAGCTGAAAGGACAATACAATAGAACTGAAAGGACGACGGGATAGAACTGAAAGCACGGCGGGATAGCACTGAAAGGACAATGTGGTAGGACTGAGAATATGTCAGGAAAGTGATGATAGAAGACCATAAGGGTGATCACAATAAACAAAAGGCGATGGATGAAACGTGATGGAAACGAGCTGAGTGAGGGAAAGCGGTGTGTGGTAAACGTGATGGAAACGAGCTGAGTGAGGGAAAGCGGTGTGTGGTGTGTGAAGGAAATAAAAGGACATTATTGAGGCATAGAAAGAGAGAGAGAGAGAGGACTGGGGTGAGTCGATTGATGGAGGGATGGGGCAAAAAGAGTTTTTGGGGTTGAAAAACAGCCTTGAGGCTGTTTTTCAAAATCAATGATTTTTTGATCAAACAGAGTTTTTCTGTTTGATCAGATATTGTTTCCGAACACCGGAGTTTTTGACCAAAAACAAAAACCCTGTTTGGCCAAACAGAGTTTTTGGCTTTCAGCCGAACGGGCCCTTAGTGTTCTCTTGCTTTTATCACAAATTTTTGTTGCCGCCCGCCCTCCCATTTTCAGCTCAGTTATTTCTCTCTTAATGTAGTATTATAGGCCGCCCTCTAGGGCCTCAGGTTGTGGTTTATCTTCACTGCAATTTGCTCAGACCCCTCAGCGCCGTCCAGCGTTTAGCATTCTTACAGAAACAAAATAAAAGATCTCTAGTTTCAAAAACAGAACCTTCCGTGCCTGACCTCTTTCTTTGTAATGGCATCTTCTTACCTCTCAGCAATGGGTATTCGCGTACTCGGACGCGTAGTGCTCTCATCAACTCATTGCACAATCAAAATTTTGTGATCTCACCACCTCCACGCCTTTGAGCCAAAAGGGTTTATACTTTCTGGATATCCACGGCACACGGTAGGAGTGTTCAAACCTGAAAAGTTGAGATTTGGAACGAGATTTGGAAGCAAAGATTTGGAACTATGATTCTTGTACAGATCTGTACAAGAATCATAGTTATGTCCATATAGGAGTATAGATTTTGTTCGAGCTTTGAAGCTTTGCTCGCTTCAAAATAATAGGGGGGGGCTCTCAAACCAGGGACTCCAAATTTGGAACACACCGTGCTGACGCTAGCATGTGGTTTTGTCCACTGCTGAGCTGCCGGAAATGCCAAACTCACGGCAACTGAAACACACAGCGGTGCTCAGCACACACCTTTGGTTTTCAATCAAGTTCTCAGAGGATCTGCAGAACCAATTGATGGCCAGGCCAAGATGCCATCTTGGCGTACATATCTTTACATTTCCAATGGATCCCAACTTGAAGGTTGCCCCAAGTTGGACCAGGGACTGTGCTGCCAAAGCAGCCGCTAAAATTGATTGGCCCCCTCTGGTATGTTGGATGAGCTCTGGGTCATGATCAGCCAGGATGATCAAGCATCTCAAATGTTCGAGTGTAGGGTGCTACATCGAGTGACTCGAACCATTTTTGAATAAGATAAAGTGACAAACTCAGCGAGTTGGGTTGGGAAATGGCTAGGTCACAGGTTGGTAGTAGGCAACTAGAATTGCTCGTGTGATGCTACAACACAAGAAGGGTTGGCTTGGTCACCGAGAGGCAAAGGCGTGTGCTGAGCACCGCTGTGTGTTTCAGTTGCCGTGAGTTTGGCATTTCCAGCAGCTCAGCAGTGGACAAAACCACATGCTAGCGTCAGCACGGTGTGTTCCAAATTTGGAGTCCCAGGTTTGAGAGCCCCCCCTATTATTTTGAAGCGAGCAAAGCTTCAAAGCTCGAACAACATCTATACTCCAATATGGACATAACTATGATTCTTGTACAGATCTGTGCAAGAATCATAGTTCCAAATCTTTGCTTCCAAATCTCGTTCCAAATCTCAACTTTTCAGGTTTGAACACTCCTGGTGCTCTTTTTTGGTTTTCACACAATTTGCCCCTTTAATCTTATTTGCTGTCCAAATCAAAATTCAAGTCACACCAGTCCGGTCTCTTTTGCACTGTTTGCACTACCGGGTGCCGATGATCTGGGGACTCGGGGAGGGAGGAGATGGATGGGATAATAACACGCAATCTTGGGTTCTTTTGATGAGGCCTGTCATGAAACTGAGGACGCTTTGGTACGCGAGAGGTCTTAATCCTTCCTTTAATGCTTTGAATATTGATCAATGCGGATTGCACAAGGTTTCGGTTGCTCTGAGCTTGGTCACTGGTTGTTGAGCTCGTATCACACCCGCGTCAAACGGGATCAAATGAGTCTGAGAGAACCGAATGCGCGAAGCGAAATTGACTGAAATTGATCAAAACATTTCAACTCTTTACATCATCGCCTTCACGGCCTCCACAGAGCTGATCAATTGAGACACAGGAGCTGATCAAATCAGGTTAGGCCAGGTAACCAAACAGAAGCAATGATATGACGTGATATCGAGGCTACAAAGTATGTATAAAAGCATGAATAACATTTAAGTCAGAGGGAGCCGACACTCCACGAATCACTTCTCAAACAAAGCTTGAAGTTGACTTACATATTCCTACCTGCACCACTAAACTTTATCTGCTTTCTCGTTATCGCTTTTCAAGATGCGCTTTTATTTTGTGATCGTTATCCTCGCTACAATGACAGGTAATTAGGTTCTCTGTTTCTCAAGCTGGCTTGTCGTTGCTTCTTTGGCATGTAAAATGTCTGATTCCCATAATCTTAACTTCACATCAGCTACAATAAACGCTCTCCCTCACGCAACGTAAGTTTGTACTCTTGTCACGTCTTGGGGTTTATTCAGTTCGCTTACTTTGGTTTTTCGAGCGCAGCGTTGATGCCAATGACAACGTATTGACACCTCGTAACTTGGCTCCAGAGGCCAAGTGAGTTGCTTCTCTGTCTCCCAGTCTACGCAGATGTTATACTGACGTTGCGCGTCGTGCTGCTTCAACAGTCTCAATCGACGTACTCCCGAACTGCAGGATGACGAACATACCACTAGCCACCTGTGCGTTATAATCCTTCCTCTTCGATTCGAAATTTACTAACGTCGCCGCAAATTGGATAACAGTGCAACCAGGTACTGGCCTGATAACAGCGGCAATGGGTATGCAAACCCAAACAGACAGTTCGGGCATTGAGCAAATAATGTGGAACTTCTTGCGTTCTGCCCCAGGGCCTAGCAGTTTGGAGTCGGACTTGTCATTTTATGTACTTCGCGAGCTGTGTGGTTGGTTCAGAACACTAGCCGGTAAATGTAATTTTTGGGGGATCTTATTGAGGAGAATGACATCCTACGTATAGCATATATTTTGACCAAACTTTGACCGTCAGATGTGATCGTGTTTTACTCAACAGCTTCAGCAGTTATCATTTTATTGGTTTGTCCGTGTCTAAAATTGCACAACTGTTCCATGCACAACAACCCTTTGAAGCAGGTATTCATTTCAAAGACCCCTATAGTCTCGAGAATATTATGCAGCTAGCACCTCCAGTGATCTGACATCACCCAAACATCAAAATTTGAGTATTTTCAGATGCAAACGTTACATTGTTTAAGATACCACAACGAAATCCTTGAGCACATCTTTGAAGGAAACCCGTCGTCCCCAACTCAACTAAGTCCCTCTCGGACGAGCTACTCGTAAGTTAGCCGTCGTCCAGAAATTCAAATCCAACTTCGCACAAATCAAAATGCATGATTTCATTTCATTTCGCGAGCCAAAGTAATCGAAAAGGAAACAAACTGATGAAAGATCCCACCGAAACTAAATAAGGCATGGTTGGCAATTATCAAGCGTAGCTGAAAACAAATAGGAAGCTAGACATAGCTTGTGAGAATGTCAGGACATCAGATCATGGGACCACTGATGATGATGAACAGCGCTGAAAACAATAATAAAAGAACAGATGAGAGAAAGCCAAAGAAACAAAACAAGAAAGGGCAATCATATGCAGCTTACAACGCCATCAGATCATGGAACTGCTGATGATGATGAAAACCTCGAATAACAACAACGGAATAACAGACGAGGAAAAAACAAGAGAAATATACACAAGAAAAGCCTAATTGCAGTGACTTGATAAAAACTTTTGTCAGATGTATGATCCATCTAGCCCCCGCCACACATCTCTCGGCCTTACAAATCAATCATTCAAACGAGACCAAAAACCTTTAAAATCCTTCTCCTAAGTTCTTGACCAACTACTCTTCTCTCCAAAGTAGCACGTCCAACTTCACCATTACCAGATCCCTACAGAAAACAAAGAAACACCACAAAATTATGAATTGATTCGAATCTTGAAACTCAAAAGAAGAGAAATTGAACTAAAAAGGTAACATTCACTGACCTGCAAAACGAATTTGTTTTCTTGTGCTCTTCTTGCAAGATATGGTATGGTTTCACTAATAGATCCAAATGGTAAACATTTCTGTACAAATGGTTGTAAATTGATATTCTGATTGGTTTGATTTGGTGAAATTAAAATCTCAGATAAGGCACTGGTCAATTGATCAGCCATTCCTGCAAGGCAAAGAATCAAAATCGTTAGTTAATAGAATTGAGAATGACTTGATTTTTCCAAATGTTTATCAATCAAACACTCACCATAAAGTTGTGCAAACATAATTCTACCTCTTAAAGCATCATTCAAAGCTAATTTATTAGACCCATTCTCAACAAGATCATGGGCCAATCCTTCTTGATCTCTTAATTGTTTTAGAACTTTGATAGCAGATTCAACATTATGACCAGCAATCATTAAACCGATTCTAGGCTCTGATATCTTTTTGGGTTCTTTAATTTCTTTTGACAGTCTAGAAGTTAAACTTGAAACGATTTGATCAAAACAATCATCAGTTTGAGATTTGTTAGACCAAACTGGGATTTTAGATGTTTCCCAATGATTAGTTTCGGCTACTAAATAGGCTCCTCTGACTAATTTAACTCCGATTGAAAATCCATTGGAATCTGCTAATTTAATGGCTTCTTGAATTCGGTCCGGTGTTGATCTTAATAAGGCTTGAAATGTGTTATAGACGGTTGGCCATGTGGTTTGATTAGATTGTTTGGATCCATCGGATCGATTGAATTCTGCTGCAAGAAAAGTAGCTAAACGATCAATAGCAGGCTAAAGGAAAATTTTGTAAAATAGAGTGAAATAAAAACACATCAATTTTGAGCTCTGATTGATCAGATTATGATTCAATGTGAGCTCTCACCTGAAACCAACTATATTCCGCGTCAATCATGACTATAACATTAGATTCTTTTGCCTGACGACATATACCACGCAATTCAGTCAACAAACTTTCCATAGTAGATCGATCATCTTTTGATAATGTAGGTGCTCCATTCGAATTAGAAGTAGAAGGAAACAATTCTCCAATAGGTTGATAAGGTGAAATATTTTGATCAGATAAGTAAGATGAAGCTCTTTCAAATACATATGGATCTGTTACTAATCCAGATAATTTAATTGCCACTGTGGTAGGTCGAATTGGAGCTGAACCAGCAGGATAACGGTTTGATGAGCTTTCGAATTGAGCTGCTGCTGCTACTGCTGCTAAATTTGCGTCAATATGTTGTTGGCTCACTCCGCTGACAACAGTACTGCCAGGTGCAAGTTTAGGGGCTTCAGCTGAATAATTCATCAATGTCCCTACACCTTGACTGTGAAGGGATTGTAAGACGGGTAAACAAGCTTCGGCTGTTTCACCACCGGTATACTGCGCAATAGAATGGAGAGAAGAAATAAATATCAAGTTGCTTGATCTGTGAGGTGGGAGAGTATTAGACCTCTAAAGTAGGCTTACGTGGGCAAAAAAGGTTTGCCGCATGATCTGTTCATCAAGACATCACAAATGGTAGAAATTATCAACCTATTCTACTATTATGAAAACATGTCACGAAAAAGAGATTTTTTACTCACAGTAGCAGCTATCAACCATCCTAAATGACCGATGACGGGAACAGCTTCACAAGCAGCCATATAAATTTCAAGTGCTTTAGGACCATAATCCACTAAAGCTGGTATCTCACACATAAAGAAAGTAAAATAACTCCTTAAGAGTTCAGCTGTTGATCTAGATGATAAGTGAGCAGTTCTAGCTATTAAACAATCCGATTGAAGTTGATTTAATGGATCTTCTAATCTTTTCTTATCTTGATCTTCTAAATTGAATTCCGATGTGTCTCTCATCAACATTAAAGTCATCAATCCTAAGCAACTTGTTGTGCCTAAACCGATATATGTCCATTTTCGTGATTTAGGAATTCCCGGTTGACTATCAATTCGCCCTGAATGATTATATCGATATCCTAGTGAAATATCCAAATTTCTAAACCTGTGAACTAGATAGTAAAGTTTCGATTTGAGAATTTTGGGACATACCTTGATTTTGTCTGAAGCGCAACGACTGGGAATCACATGCGACGAATCGAGTCCGATTACGGAGAGCTGTACATGGTCGATTGACTTTTAATGTTGATATCCACATTGAAGTCATCCTTTTGAGTCAATACGCTACGATGAGCTGGCTGATACTTTGATGTGCGCGCTGATGGATTTGACAGGTCCAAAGCTTGATTTGAAAATTCACTGGGTCTTGAGGTAAAAAAAGTCCGTCCTAAGTGGAGTGCGGCTGATAAGTGAGGTCAACGCGCGATGAAACGGATAGGTATGAAACGTTGCATCGGAAACGAGCTAGTCAATTGTTTTGATGTTGATCGGCGGGAGTCCGAACAGGATTCATTAGACCAAAGGATCAAGAGAACTCCGATGATCGAGATGTTGAGCATCGATCGCAGGCCAAAAGGCCAAGAATAACTTGAAGAACTTAAAAAATAACAAGTCAAGACTTGGTTCATGAGACACTTGCCCCGGGTCTCAGCTTCAAGTTTCATATGGAGGTGGACTTTTACCTACTTTTACACCACAAAGTACGGTGGCCGTGGACGCTCGTGCACGGACAAATGCACCAAAACCTCAAAATGCAAAAAATAAACTTGAAACACATCCCAAAAGCCCCGCCGAGCGTATCCCGAGCCCAGTCCGTTGCCTCGGGGTCTATAGTCATCACTGCAGATGGCAGCCAGCTCGGTCCACGATCGATTTCATTGTTTCTTCAGATTGAACAATCATTCTGGGTATTTATCCTATCTGGATTAAAATATCCATCATCTTATTGGATAACACTGTTGAATTGAATATCCAATGGATACAATGGGCAATATATACTTGTAAAAAATTGTTCCTTTAACCCACCCAGAGTGGTTTTACTGCACTATATAGCGGAGGGAACCCAGAAATGCCCTGAAGTCATACATGGCACTTGATTCTCAATTTCTACCACCCCAAAGAAATGATGAGTTTGATTTCTGATGATATCTGAACCCCAGCTTTTCACTCGGCCTTTTCAACAATCAATTCTAATTATTCCCAATCAAAACTTAATTTGACTTACATTTTCAAGGCCCGTCAGCTGCTTTGTTGATGGACCTAACTCGCGTACCACTCAACATTCTTCATTCAATTTGATTCCAAATATCACTCAATGAGTTTCATACCTTCTTTTCTAATCCTCACACAGCTTAGTAGCGTGATCACCTTGTGATTTCACATCCCAATAATCACCATAAAAAGTCCTTCTAGTTTCAAGTTTTGAGTTGTCAATTGATCGAGTTGTCAAATCATGATGAGTTGTATAATTCTGATCAGAAAGCTGATCTAAGAAAACTAATCCATCTTGATTTAATCGATTGAGAGATTGATATTATAACAGGGTTTTTTTGGAAATTGAGTTGAAGTTTATGAATAGATTCAATTGTTTTTGGAGTTGAAAGATACAATGTTCTGAGTCATTTTTTGATGATTGGTTTAGATTATTTGACCAAAGGATGGGTTTGAGATAACTTTGTTGATGGTAATGACTGATCCAATCAGATTGATTTGATTCAAGTTTCAAAAATCGAATTTACTGATATGAGGTTTAGATTTGGCTTCATTGGACTGATTCAAAATATGGTGACTATCTCTTGACCATACGTAAGACAATGTCAAATTGTGAATTTGATCTGAATCTGAATTGATAGTTAACAAAGGTCTGATTTATTCTGAATGATCGATATGTTTGGGTCATTCACTGTGATTGCAAGATTGAAACATGTTGGTGCTACCAATTACCAAGGCACTACCCCTGCTCCGGGTGAAAAGGTAACGTGAACAGATGAATTGATGTGTATCAATCAACTCCTCGCCTGTTCTTGTATAAAATGTCAGTGAGGCTACTTCGTTGATCAGACACTGTGTTTAACTGCCCCCGGTCATCTATCTAGTGTGCGATATAACATATAGTGGTGCCTTCATAGCGCACTATATAGCCCAAAAAGAGTGTTTTATCGCTCCACAATCTTGTCAGAGATTTTTTCTATCAAATAGCGGTTTGATAGCGGGCCCGCTGTAGAACTTATAACCCAACAAGGGTTATACAGAGCGGGAAGAGGATAATCTACTAATATGATGACTAGTAGAAGTTGTCTGAGACTGCTCTTCTAAAACAACACAATCAGGAAAAGGTGCTGTTGTATTGAGTATAGATAAGGCACCAGAGGAATTTAACTTTCACACATATTTTAACTTCAAAAGCACAATTTTTATTACTATCAACACTGCTATAGTGTTATTCCCAAATGATAACTGAAGAAAATAAGCAATATCTTTATGATATTATTCCCAATAAGTCTTTTTGACTGCAATACTAAAGTAAATTTCTCTTTATAGCTATAATAAAGGGCGTATTTAAGTGACCAGGTACTATGAAAATAAGTTTATGATGATAAACAAGATAATAACTGTGTAAATGATAAAGATAAAAGGGGAAAAACAGTCCCAAAATCATCTCAAAGTATATATAACAATGTACTCCAACTTTTACAATGGTCAACAGCCTCAAAACCAATCAAATCCGCCCAAAAATCCCTAAAAACCCTATGATGACGCAATGTAATGATTTTGTTACCAATAAATGAGGTAATTTTCACAGCTAAAAGTGATCAATGACACAATAATATGATGTAAAGCACTTCTTATGATGAATACAGGTGATTTTTTCCTTGTAAACTAGCTGAAAACCAAATTTTGAGATTATGAATTTTTTCAAATGAGGTCCAATTTTTGATTACTAAAGTGAATATTGTAGCCCTTGTGTTACTGATCATTTATCACCCCCATATGACCTTTTTCTGATGAGTGATGAGTAAGATATTGAGTTGTGAAGTTAAGGTTTTTAGTATTACATGTCGGCTTGTGGCTGTGAATTCAAGATTCACGCCAATTTCTTATTTGCCCTATAACTATTTACATACACCTCTGCTACTATTGATTTAAAGTTTGTACATTATGTAATCCACCCATCTGCTTTGAATGGGCTATCTACCAACCTAATCTGACATCATTTGACATATGTAATGAGCTGAAAACCTTCATTTTTGACAAAATTTACCCATTTTCTTCACTTTTCACAGCTGCTACTCTCTTTTTCTTGCTCATGTAATATGACATCATCCTCTATAACCTTAAAAATCCCGTAAAATCCTCTTGGCAACCTTAAATTTCACTATTACCACCATTACATATGCAATCTACATGTATACCTCTTGGTTACCAACTTCGAAAAAGTACCTTTTCTCTAATAACTTCTGTTTCTTCTTATCAACCTTCAAGATTAAATTTTTTGCAGTATAATATAATGTTGTTCTTTCATATTATAACCTCATAATACCCATAACTTTATTATCATTACCCTAAAAACCATTTTCCAACCTGTATACCTATATTTTTGAATTGTTTTTATGTTTTTCTTTCTTTTTGTAATAAATTTGTGAATGAACTCTAATGATCTTAATAAGTAATGTGAAATAAAATGATGTAATGTTAACCCACCAATACATAAGCCTATAAGAGTGTCAATTGATCCAAAAACCTCCATTTGGAATTTTTCTTCCCTGCTAAACTTTTCTAGTAAACTGGTTATAAACTACTGATAATGAATTTTTTGATTGATCCCTTCAATTGATCACCACACTGCTCATAGCGGAGGCTCCGCTCTGCAACAAAGATGGGACCAAATCCATAGCGTTGCAGAGCGGTTCCGGTGTTGGGTACAACATGACTGATTTGATCCTCCAACCGATGTGAAACAAAAGACAGGTGAAAAAAATCGAAAGGACTTGAGAGGATTCAAGTGAGAGGTTTTGGTCCGGCGCCACAAACTGGACTTGGGATACGCTCGGCGGGGCTTTTTGGATGGGTTTTGAGTGTATTTTATGCATTTTGAGGTTTTGACACATTTGTCCGTCCACGGCCACCGTAACAGAGACACATTTGAGCAGAACAATGTCCAAGCCGTCCAAAACCCAATGCTCAACTCCGCACCCCCGATTGGGGTGTCTGTTGGGCTTCCTTCAGCACCACGTCTGTTGCGCACTCTCAGGATGTTGTGATGGCCCTCTGATTGTGGATGCTCAATAAGTCCCACAGCTCTCAACCTGACATGGACATTTCCATTGTGGCTATCTTCAGTGAAGACCTCACTAACAACTTTGTCATCCATAAAACCAATGTGTTGGATATCAAGAAGGAAAATTTCAACTGGCCAATGGCATTCAGATACAACATTGCCATCCGTACAATGGTCATGACAGTTCAAAATGCCAACGGAAAGCTAGCTAACCCTGGTGTTAGGAACAAACAGTTCGAACGCATGGCCTTTCGCAATACTGAACGATTCGGCGACTTTGTTCCCGCTTTCAATGATGTCAACCCATACGCAGATGGCTGTGTGAAAGCCACCTTTAACCCTATCACCGGAGAAGACCTGCACAGTTTGATGCACTCCCAGAAATTGGTCAACGGCTCTGCAATCAATGTCAATGGCACCAACCTTCACATTGCCAACAACCCCTTCAGTGCTAGTTTAATCAACATGACCTCTAACGCCCTGAGTAAACCAAACGCCCAATCTTGGGCTCACGCCAACCAACCAATCTACGATGGTCCAGGTGGGATGCTGTACGGTAGTTGGGATGATTGTAGAGGTGGTGGAAGGAACGTTTGCAGTAGAGGTCGTGGTGGCAACTGGAGTAACAACTCAGGACAAGATCATAGTCCCCCCCTTGTAGATTCCATGATAATTCTGGCAGAGGCAAAGGTAACGGATTGTGGCGTTGTGATGACAGACGAGATGACTGTCATACTGATGACCGCGACCACAACGGTGGGAAGCGCTATAACGGCAATGGGAAGGCAAAGTAAGCCTCTGACTAGAACTGTTGTTTTCATTATGTGTTAAAACACACTCTTAAAAGACCAGGAATTCCTACCTTTATGGTACCCAGTCCAACGGTGTAGAACTCCTACGCTGTGGAGCGTAGGCAGAGCCTCAAGGGGAAGAAACAACCCAAGGGGATAAACCGCCAAGAGCCGTAACCAAAACACCGTTAAGCTGCCCTCAAAATACAATGAGACACTTCTTTGCCAACCTTTCTACCACAAAAATCAGCTCCACCCTTGAAAATCCCAATCTACAAGCTTTGATGAGTTTTTAAGGATCCCCATAAAGGTCCTACAGTTCAAAAACAGATGTAAACAAGCTGTTTTTTACTATGTTCCCCAATGCAGTTCTCTAAAAAAAAACCCCACAGCAAGTAAAAAAAACAATTAAACCTTGATTTTCCTCCAAAACCTTGTTCTTCAACTTCTACTGATCCCAAAACCACCCTACACACCCTATCCAACTTTAAACCCAGCAATTTGCACCTGTAACAGTGCAAAAGGTACCCTAATACCCTAGGACAAAACCCCTAGGTAGCTAAGTGAGATAAGTAAGAAAAAAAACTCCAAATTTCAAAATCCCAAGTATAAGGGTTTCAAAATCACCGATAACACCTTCAGTAACCCTTACAAATGAGTAAAGGTAAGTATTTTCTTTTTAAAAGGCCCGTTCTTTTGTTTTCAGCTTCACTAATGATACGATGAATTAAAAAAAACTAACTATCTATTTTCTTTGTTTGCTCCTTTCTAATTTAAAAGTTTAACTCAATAACGATCAAAAGGGAAATACTCTAACAAATGCTCGAAGCTATGGTTCCTTCTGACTCGATAAGACTCGATAACAATCAAAAGAAAAAAAGAACTTCTCTACCAGCACACACACACAATCAGACACACACAACAATCAAACCATCCCTTTTATACCCAACTCTTTCAAACCTAATCAAACCTATTGTAAGTTCGATTTTTGGCTTTTATCATCCCCATCTTCTGACCTATTCTGATTTCTAATTGAATTGATTTTTAGTTATCTTTGTTTGTTTTAGGTCGGTCCGAGCCGCTTTGATCAATCTCAGACTCTTATCAATCAATAAATCGATCAATTGCCTCTTTCCTCAACCCTGTTTCATCTAAAAATCGAAAAAATCGATTTTTTGTAATCCTTCTTTTTGGTAAGTCCTTTTAGATGTTCTTTCTGTTTGATTGATTGATCTCTTTTAAAATTTCTATCAAGGTTTTGACTAACTTCCTTCCATTGTAGCATCTTTCAAATTAATTTCGATTTTTCAAACCAAACATAGATGAAAGTGAAGACTATTGAGAAAGTACTTGAAGATGGTGAAGGTGTTGCAGGGTATAAAGGATTTATTAGGCTGTATAATTGAAAGATTTGTATTTGTATTTTTTAGGCTTTTGTTTTGATTGTTTTTAACTTATGTGACTTTGTCAAGTTTCAATAATTTTAAATGAATTGAATATAATTCAGCAAAAGTAAATAATAAAATACTTGAAGATAAAATAAAAACTAAACTGGAAGATACTGAAGTTGAATTATGATGAGATGGAGTCCTGTTCAAATCAGTCCTCATCTTGTCTTTGTATTTTTTAATTCCCATTGATCAGGATCAATTTTCAAAAAAATGATCTTCTTTTAAATTTATCATCATTTTCATTATCATTTCAATTTGGTTGATTTTTTTTCTCCTTTGCTTTCTTTTATGGATTCCATGTTTTCTATTTATTTGTAAGTTTGACCATAAGAATGAATTTTGATATATTGCAGATAGAAGTACCTTCAGAGAAAAAACTGCAGATGATTTGTAAGATTAAAGATAATCCAATGATGGACAAAAAGAGCCTTGTGAGATTTTGATTTCCACAACGGCAGCCAGGCTTGGTAGTAAGACCCATAGATAAAATCTCTTTCTTGTTTGTTTGTACCCCGCGTTGTGATAATGATCCTAAGTTTTGATCTAGCACGCTACAATGTGGCTGTTGCCATCCAAGAGCCCTGTTTCTTTTGATCGTTTATCAAAAGCAATGTGATATGTGTTTGTTCATGCCTAATCTCTGACCCACTTTGCCAATCTCTTCTTTGTCCAACCCATCTATACAACAAGAAGAATGTGAGATAATACCGCTACCCTCTAAACCCATACAACAAGCCACACCTAGACTTGTCCCTGAAGTGTTGAAGCCTGGTAAAGTCCAAATGGTACCTTATCGCAACTCAAGTGTATCTTTCTGCGAGAAATGGCCATATGAGGTAGCAAGATCAGATTTGAAAATTGTGAAGTGGTGTTCCCTGGTTGAACTGTTAGAGATTGGAGGTGACATACCCAAGGTTCTTGTAGGATGCGGGGCAGGTTTCCATCAGGGTATTCCGCAACACAACATGGGACCTTTGAGATGGTGGACACCTAAAAATCATGAATCAGCAATTCTAGCTGAGGAGAAGATTTGCAACACCTTGGCTAAAGAGAAGAGAGCCTTACGAATTTTTGGTCTGTTCACTCACAAGGAAGTGTACGCAAAGATCAGCTTTTTTTGATTGAATCCAATGGGGAGCATCATAAACGGCAACGGCTCCTTTTGAATCATCAATGATCTTTTGTTTCCCCACAATAAACCCAACACCCCTTCTGTGAATAGCTTTGTGACAAGAAGGAGTTTGAAACAAGATGGGATGACTTCAAAGCAGTCATATAGTTTTTCAAGCGGAATAATGGAGATCTGATGTTAGCTTTATTTGACTGGGAAAAAGCATACAGACAAATTGCTACTCACCTGTCACAGTGGCGCTATTTGTTCATCCTTGACCTGTATAACCAATTTTGGATGGATACCAGAATACAATTTGGCGGTGTGGCTGGTTGTGGGGTTTTTGGGCGACCTGCTGATTTATGGAGGAAAATTATCATGAAAGCCTTCAAGTTGGAATCAGCCTTTTGATGGGTCGACGACAATATTTTAGTGAAAGAATGCACCAACACTACTACAATTGCCGACATTGTCCAGTTGAGCGACGAAATGGGAGTCGCTTCAAATCCTGAAAAGGTACATGACTTCGCCGATGAACAGAAATACATTGGTTTTGTCTTGAATGCAAAAGAGAGGACTGTTAGACTACCGGTTGAAAAACTTGAGGAAAGGAGACAAAAAATTACTCAATTTCTTGCACCAAGAGGTTTCTTTTACCTGAAAGACACCAATCAATTTGTAGGGAGGTTGGTACACACCTGCTATATTGTTCCACATCTACAGTGCTGCATGCCCAGTTTGTGGAGGTGGAAGAAAGAGTGGAAGAATCTGTCAGCAAAGAGGAAAATTCCTAATGATGTACGTGAAGATCTTCAGGAATGGGATGACGCACTGCGTACGTTTGACGCCAGACGCATAATCCCAGACACTACTCCGGTGGATCTCGATTGGGTGGGTGACGCCTCTCTGAAGGGCATTGGAGTTCTCATTGGCGGTAAGTCGTGGGCACAATTTGGTCTTGTCGATGGTTGGAACGCGCAATCAGGGACAGGCTTCCTTTGTAATATTGCGTGGGCCAAGACTGTGGCTATTTGGTTGGGCATGATTATCATTAGTAAACTGTTGGATGTTGGAGGTAAAAGATTTGTTTTACTTACAGATAACACAACATACCAATCAGCTGTCGAGAAAAGACAATCCGGTGATCAAGCCGTAAATACCGAGTGGAAATCAATTCAAAGACTGCTGTTAAGTCTGCACGTGGATGTAGTTGCGCATCAGGTGAAGTCAGGTGACAACATGGCTGATCTGTTGTTGAGAGGTTTAGATGATTGTAACGCTGAGGACATGATAGTGATCGAGATTCCTGTTGATCTGAAACCATTTGTTGTGCAGGTGCTGTGAAATATATACCGTGTGACATTTTCTATGTGTGATACCACAGTTTTGGACGGTGCTACTTGACCCGAGAGGTCCGACAGTAGAGTTGAGAGAGCAACGCTGGAACCGGTGCGACACGATACAACATTTCGGACCTTTCCGATGTCGTATCGGTCAACCGATATATCTCGACCAATACCCAATACGACATGAAATCAAAAAAAATCCGCTGGGCCATATTGCATCGCTCAAGCAATACGAGACGATACGATATATAGGTAAAAAATCATTTCAAGCTTAAAACAAGAGAATCACGTATATAAAGTAATTACACCGCTGTTTGTAAATATAAAAACCAATTTTCAATTGAAAAAGAAAAATCATGAAAAAGAAATTGATTGAAAAAGAAAAATCATGAAAAAGAAACATGATAAAAAAGAAATACTAGCGCTTCGGGGGCGGCCCGCCGCCCTTTCGGCTTCGCTTGACGCGTCAGTCATCGCTGCTACATCTCACTTCGTTGCATTTGACCTATTGCATTATACATATTGCGACGTCCTCGTGTAAGTTACTGTATTCTGTCACATTGTTGCATAGGCCTGCGTTACGTCATAGCTACAACATTGCATCACAACTTCTCAAAGGACAGTGCCACATTTACCGTTCATTCTACTCCCCTCTATCCCTCAACAAAACCCAGAATACATGAGGTTTCCCGCGAGACTGGTATTCTACGCATTTGATGTAGACTCTCCCGTTCACAACCCTCGTTTCATAGTTGAAGTTCTGCATGTCATGTCCACCATTGCAAAATTTGTCTCTTGAGGCATTTCCATCGCAATCCTTTGTATGCTTTGACATCCTAGGCAATCGTGTCTGCAACTTATGTGGTCATTAACTTCTTTGATAATCATCAATGACAAAGCTGCTGCGACTTACGCTTTTTAAGCTTATAAATTGGCCTTAAATGCTCCGAAGATTTTATTGAACTTGTCTTTCGCTGCCTATTACCGATTTCGCTGTCAGTATTGGTATCCGGCAGCGAGAGTATTAATTACCGACCTGACTTTGCGTTTTTCGACTATTCGCGAATTTACTGACGGTAAATAGGGAAGTCGTGACTTCGTAAATGACAACTTATTTCCGTCGCAGATCTCA